CTTATAAAACCTGGCCCAAAAGGGTCTGTAAAACCTGCGGCCCAAGTCCGGGCGGCCTCGGTGGTAAGATGGCGCCGGTGTAAGAGCTGCCTCCTGTTAGTGATGAGGAAAGGGTCATAAATCCGTTGTTGTTTATGAAAATTTACAACTTTGCAATACAACTTTATGAGTTGTTCGGCCCTTCCATTGGCCGCTGTCGGTCATGTGAATGAGAACCGTGAACATGAACTTTTTTATAATTTCCCTTGCGAGAATAGAGCCGCATTCTTTTGCTCCGCTCCATCCTGCCTGCTTCGGAGCTCTGCCTTTCCAGCCCGGCTGGGCTGCGCTTTGTCCGCCGATGGCCAGCGAGGGGAAGCCAGGGCCAGGCCCGGCCGAGTCGCTCCCGCGGGAGGTGGGGCGCGCCCAGTTCCCGGCGCCACAGCAGCCGCTTTGCAACTCGCAACCTGGCTAATTTCCTGCGTCCTCTGGCACCAGGAAGGAGGACAGTTCGTCTCCGGGCTGCCCGAAAGACAGCTGTCAGAGGAGCCGGAGCTTCTGGGAACCGCCATCTGAAGGTGAGACAGTGGGGAAGAGACAGGAGCGAAGGCGGTGAGGTGCCGCCGCGGTGGGAGAGGCAACTAGGGTGGCTCTGAAGAGGGCTGCACTCACCGTGCCCCGCCCCCATCAGGCTCGCCGGTCCACCCCACAGCCCACACATACTCGCGTGCAGGCCACCTCCACCACCTCCCATCTCCCCCCACGCTGACCCCTCCGTCCCTCCCTCCCCTCCCTGGATCACCAGGGCAGAAAGTGCCCATCTTCTCTCCATGGCACAGCGCCCTGGCACAGCTCCCTGGCACTGGCATCAGCGCTTGAGTCTTCTCTCTCCCCTTCTTCACCCACCCTGGGAAGCATAAAAGAAAGTGATCCTGCACTCTGCATTTCCTGACAACCTGAGTTTGGCTTTTGGGGGCGTTGTTTGAGGGTTTTGTTTTTTCATTCATGGCCCAATGGGTTCCACTGAATTTCCCAACAGGAGACAGCTCCTGACTGGGGAGTTGAGAAGAGATGAGGGCAGAAGTGAGTCAACCCACAGGCGTGTTATTAGTGTTAACTCTGCACCTTCTATTCCCTGGAAGCTGGGTTTTGGAGAGAAAAGTGGAACGGGGGAGACAAACAAGCAAAAAAAACAAAAAACAAAAAACAAAAAACAACTTACTAAATTTCAGCCAGAGTTCTTTGGTGATTGCGTGCTTCTCCGAGCCCGGTTTTCCGATAAGAGAGGTGTCTGCAGCACTGGGAGAAGGAAAAGGTGCAGAGGTGGAATTCTGTGTTGGGGGAGAGGATGGGTTAATTGTCTGGATGGATGTCACTTGGTGAGATGTTTTGGTGTGAGAACACTGTGAGTGCGGCGGCAGGGGCCCGCAGCTGAGGAGGAAATGTGTAAACCGAGTCTGGGCAACAGGGGGACCCCGTCCAACCCACCTCGGCGCACAGGGCTGGCGACCTCCGGGAGAAGACTGTGGAGCTAGCCGGGGGAGGAGGCGCTGAAGGTCTGTGGGTGGTGGCTTCGAACATTGCAGTGACACGAACCTGTCTGGCTTGGGTGCAGGTCGGACCAGATTTGCCCCGAGGAGCTCTAGGCGACAAGAATTGATCCCCAGGTTCTAGGCTCAAGTTTTTACCATGTTTGTTCGGTTTTTGTTTGTTGTTCTTGTTATTTTCCTAGTGTAAGATAATATCTTGGTATGCATTAGATAACCAAGAAGGGATGAAATGTTTGGGACGCTCGCCGGCACGGTGGGTGCACTCCGGCAGATAAAGAGACGCATTTGCCTTGTAGGGCCGTTGGCTGCCCGTCTGCGGCTGCCGCGGGCAGATTATTTATTGTGACCGAGATGGCGCTCGCTGCTGCCACGCTGTGGCCATCGCCGGGACCGGCGCCAACCGCAGCCGGCCTCTCGCAGTCTGGCGCGACTGCTGTGCGGGCCCCTCAGAGATTCCCCTGAAGGCAGGGGAAGGGGGGAATGAAAGGGGATCTGAAGGGCAGTCTCCCAGCTTCTATTTGTCTGGGAAATCTACCTGCCTCCACCACCCCAGACTGAAGCTGGACGCCGGAATAGACTCGGGTCCTCCCCTCTCCCCTAACCCAGCACCATGGAGACTGGTTGCACAGGCCGCCTGGCACATCATGGCTGCTTCTGTCCAAACTGCGCGTCCCAAGGAGCACTGGGGGCGCACGCCCGGTTGGGGAAACAGGCTGGCTTTGAGATTCTGACATCGGAGAGGCCACTTGTAGTCCTGAGGCCTTCTGGCCTGGCTGTCCCTGAGGAGAATTGGCTATGGCAAGGAAGGCAGATTTGGGCTCCAGGCGAGGACCTGTGATAGGCAGAGAGAGGCCTCACCTGTGTGCTGTTGGTTCTGGCCTGAGCTAGAGATCTGGAAGGTAGAAGGTGGGCCTTTAAGGTTTCCACACATCCCTGAAGGCCTTCCTCCAGCCTGGCAGAAGTGTAGGAGCTCAATGGGCAGCCCAGGGCAAGAGCCGAAGGCGTGACCCTACTCAACATCCTGCCTCACTGAGAGAAGCTAAAAGGTAAGTCGGCTTTCTGTCTGCCTTTGACAGAGAAGAAAGAGACCTGGAGTGGCCATTCCCACAATACAGGACAGGCTCTAGGGAGGGTGTGGAGCTTCTATTATTGCTTGAATGAGTTCTTCCTCATCATCTCTTGCTCTCCCTAAAATGGATATGTATATATGTGTGTGTGAATATAACTATATATGAATATATATATATATGAATATGTCATATATATGGAAAGAGAAATAAATTGATAAATTGGTCTGCTACCAAGGTGATATGCACTAGCCTTGATTACCATGTAAAGATTTTAATTTAATGCATTATTTTTTCCACTTTAGTGCTTACAAATATAGAAATATAGTGTTTTCTGTCTCTGAGCTGAATAATCAAATTCTTTTATTTTCTGGGACAATTACTAGATGGAGAATCCAGGTCAAAGCATAACAGTAATAATCATAAACTGTCAGAAGGTCCAGTACTGTGTACGAGATGGAGGAATGAAAGAGAAATCATAATGTAAACATTTATCAACATCTGCAAACTGGTTACTTTAAATAATTTGCTTGAAATTACTATTATCTGATTATTTTAAGACACAATAACTCAAACATGATTTTCTTGAAACATGGCTTTTAAAGAAAAAAATCTCTTTTTATTTTTTTTACTTGAATATTTCATTTTCACCTATTGCATCCTTTCCCTAAAGAAATCTGTGGGAAATGTAAAATTTTATCCTCTTCTGAATGACCCTTTATGTGCAAAGAAAAAACTTTCCTTCTCTGGATTGATTAAAGAACAGGCACAAGGCTTCCCCAAAGTCTTTAAGGGTACCATGGGCTCTGTGAAGGCTGCCTGCGGCTGTTAGCCTAATTGTTTTCATTATTTTTATTTGAGGGGGGAGGAGGCCAGAAAAAAAATTAAAAAGCTAGAAAGAGATCAAGGAAGTCCTTACCAGATTCCTAGGGGAGCATTGCCATTGCCACTTCACCCCCGCCCCCAAGTCCTGAACCCCATCAGCCTGTATTGGCTTGGGTTTTACAGATCTTAAAAGTAGCCTCCCCAAATCCAACCAAATAATGTCGCTTCTTCAATCTCCACAGAATTGAAGATTTTAAAGCTAATTGAATGAATTTTACAAGCCCAGCAAACAGTCGTAAAAATGCCACTGGACTGATACCACATTTTACAAAATGAGATTGATCCATGCATTGTAAAAGCTGTCTTGAAGGCACACCTCTCAGGCAAGAAAGAGCAACCCAGGACAGGCTTTTCCTGTCCTGTCTAGAAACTGCCAGGCCCGGGACCACGGTAAAAGCAATTCAGGATTTCTGGTGCCTGTGAGAAAACTATTCCCGGTCTGGGTCTGGAGCTACTGCCAGGGGCAGCCTCCGAAGTAGTCTTAGGAGGGGCAAGAAAGAAGATGTTCCCTATGACAGTGCCATCCGGGTGCCCTGGAAACCAAGCCCGTTAATTATTGTGCATCCTTGGGCCCCGTGAAGCTATTCTCTGTGTCCTGCTCCACCGGGGCCCTATGTCTTCAGTACACCTTCAGGGCCTCTGGGATGAGGAGGGCGAATATAAATCTGGATTTCTCTGTCTCAGCTTCTGAGCAGTTCAGGTGGCTGCAGAGAGTCCCAGGGTGCTAGGCAAGGGCAGCAGTCTGAGCCCAGTCTCACACTGGTCCCTCCTCCGTAGGTCCTTTCCCGTGGAAACCTGTGGGTTCTGGCCTCTTTGTTCCCTGGGTTCAAAGACTGGGTACACAGCTGGTGAGGAGAGGATGCTTGCTTTGAGATCAAGTAGGCATGAGCCAACACAGGGGAGCCCATCTGGCCCCCCAAAAGAGGTTGTTGTATGTGGGAGGCAGGGGCAGCAGGAGTAACCTGTTCGGCCTTGTCCTGGTCCGTGTGGCTGAGCCTTTGGCTCTTTCTGAGAGGCTCAGACCTCTGGTAGGAGAGGGAAGGAGAGAATAAGGGGGTGCACCATTCCCCAGCCCGCCAATGAAAAGCAGAGTGAAGGCCTGGCTCCTCAAACACCCTACTCCAGCTCAGGACCCCACACTCTCCATTAGGGGGCCACACGGGGAGGGGCAATTCAGGCCAGGCCTACAGTGTAGACCAGCAGGGACCAAAGCCATCATGGTCGCCACCCATCTTGGCGGCAGGATTGGCGGGTTTCATGATTAGAGAAGGAAAAACCAGCAAAATCTTAAAAGGAAAAAAAAAATTTAAAGGCCTAGGAGAGGGTAGCAGGAAAGAGCGAGCCTGGCAGGGGCTTTGAGGCGGCCTGGGCGATAGTGCTCCTACCCGGGTCTGATCAGCACGTCCCTGCCCGGGCCAGGCCGGCCGCTGACGTTGGGG